TAGATAAATAGGTTTGCGCGTACACACACACACACTCAGCAGGGGGTTGCCCTCAGCTCTAATCCTGGTCTCTACCTATGCAGTCTGCCAGGCTCTCCTACCATGCAGTCAAAATAGATCTGACCGCAATGTGAACACCTCTCTGTCCCCCCCCCCCACCACCCCCACCCCCACCACCACCACCACCACCAGTACTCAAGATGTGTCTGTGCTTTGCTATGGTTTACCCCACCACACTGCCACCGCAGCCGCATGAGCCACAGCCTCATGAGATTTTCTCACCGCGTCGTCAACACCTCTACGTTTCAGTATGTGGTCCAGATTTGGCTGTACTCTAATGGCAACTCCCACATCTGGTTGATTTTTGACTGCTTTGTGAATGGCTTTATCTTCTGATGCTTTCTGGATTGTCCCCCATCAAATAAAAAGGGATATGTAGTTTGTCTGACAGTCTCTTAGGGCCTGTGTGGATGGCTCAGTTTCACATTTTCAGACCACTTAAAGCCTTTTCAGTCTCTGTGACCACATTGAGAGCTCCTCTGTTCTTTTCAGCCAAGTGTGGTCATCCAAGAAGTTAGTGTACTTGGCCCCCACTTCTCAGTCACATCTTATTTAGCCTCACAATAACTCAAGGTGCTCAAGGTTTTGAGAGAGCACAAGATAAAGGCTGATCTCAGGTCGTAAAGAAGTGGTTAGAATGTATTTTCAAATGGATAAAAAATTTTAATTGTCTAGATTATCTGAATGGAAGTCGCCATTTGACCTTGAGAGTAGTTTTACAGCTGTTAAACAGTGTTCAAAGTAATAAAATGTTGCTCCAAACTTATTTCATGCCAGAGGACATAAAATCTGATACCATGAAGGCTATTCTGTGGATTGAGGATATTGGAAAATTAAGTTAAAGCTACTACAATGGGGTTGAATAATCGTCTTTAACACATAAAGCCAGAACACCTATGGCTTTCATATTTCACACTTAAATCTAAGCTTATGAATAATAAGAGTCACCCCCTTCACATTTTCCCTGTATTGATTTCACATGCATTCCAAGGTTGCCGGACACACACTTGTCCATTCTTTCAATATTCTTCTATTTTTTTTCTCTTAAGGGGAAATTATTATACACACAAACACACCAGGACTTTTTTCCCCTACGGCTGTTTTTGAGTTATGACTACATGCTCAGTTTGTCACAGATCAGAAGCAAAGGTCAATCAGATAGAATACAGTTGTCCTTTGTGTGTCTCTTTCCATCTCTCGCCTGGTTTTCTCTCTTTCACTCTCCTCTTTCTCTCCTTCTCTCTGGGGCTGCAAACAGGATTACTTTGGGTTTGTGTACGACTGTTGTATCCACATGAGCATACACACGTGTTTGATTTGTGGACATTTCACTACGTCAACTTTAAGCAGTACATGCCACTACCATTCTCTGAATGCAACTGCTGTGGAAACAATTCGGGGACACAGATTGTTGTCCCTAATTTGATAGGTGTCCCCAATAAACTGCTTAAAAGTCCGACAGTGGTCACCATATTTGACACAGGGCAGACAGACACCCTGAATACACATTTCCTGGAACAGAACAAGACATTAAATTAGAGCTTAATAAGGAAACATACACATACACACAGATGTGGAACGTGAGACGGATTGGTAGGGAGTCAATGACAACATTTGCCTTCCCCTCTTAACCCCTCTTTGTTTTCCCTTTTCCAATTGAGGGAGAAACTGTGGGTGTAATGGGTTGTTCATGTGCGTAAGAGGAGTATGTTTACATCACCAGCAGCGTGGGGACTCGTCCCAATATTCCTGGATGGCAGCTTGATTCAATTGGGAGCATGGTAGAGATGATGGCAGAATGAGGGAAAATATCCACTCCTTCAATTTGTCGTCTAGGAAGCATAGTAGGGAACAGAAAGAAACCTCTTGGAGGCACATCATGCCTGACTGTCTTTCCCACTTTTGTGCTTTTTGGCCAGGCCCCGTGGTCTTCTCCATAAATCAGTCAGTATGCACTCATACACACACTGCCTCTCTCTCTCACACACAAATACACATGTAGAGAGAGATAGACAAGACACACAGGAAAGATCATTTTGGCCCTGAGCGCATGGTAGACCAAGGGGACATGGGCTTTGCCTCTTCTGTGGTGCGATGTATATATTTCAAACAAAAATAAGAATGCTCTCTGCCAGCACTTTCTCTCATTGTGGAAATGTGTCCAGCAGACGCTTGACAAGCATGCGCGCGCGCACACACACACACACACACACACACACACAGAGGGTTCGGCCTGCTGCCAACAATAAGACTTGTTTAACGAGTCTCAGTGCTTTGTTGATTTCAGTCTCAGGGCTTTGTTGTTTTTGTGAATCGCGCTCTCTGAGGCCGGTATTAATCTTCGCCGTGTGTATACACAAGGTGTCCAGCGCTGTGCCGTATAACTGGGAGTTGTCATGCAACAATGTTTGGTTCAAGTTAGGTGAAGTCTCGTTTGGCTCAGTGCTTCATTGCTCCTCCTGTTGCCAGGTCTGGCGTTTATAATGCTGTGGTAGACCCCTTCCTCCGTCATCCCTGCTTTCCTCTCCCTCCTCTCCCAGTCACTTCCTCAAATCGTCTACCCCATCTTTACCCATACTGCCTCATTCTCCTTCTCCCCACTCCTCCTCTTACTCCTGCAGCAAACTGCGCTTGGCCTGATCCAGTGTTTGTGTTCTGGATTCTGCGTTCCTCGATGGCAGAGTGTGCGAGTGCAGAGAGAGACACTGAGCGTCTTGGCAGGGCCATTGGTTTCCAGGTGCTTCTCTGGTGTTTGGCAGCTCTCTGCCTGTGCCTGACTAAGTACTCTCCTCATCACTTGGTCTGCACTCTTGTCTCTTTTCCTGCATTACTACACTCTCTAGAAGACCTTCTGTAGTTTGCAATGCAGGCGTTGCCGCAAGACAGGAACACAAGAACAGGGTGGCTTTTCTTTTGATTGAAGGTTGTGCATGTTTTGCTCTTGCTGCTCCTCAAAGCTGGTATCAGAGAGTTTAGACTCGAATGGCCAGGTTTTAGAGAGTAACATGAATTCAAGTCTGTGTAAAGTATCATACCAAAATAGTAGTTTCCACAATAGTTGTGTTTTGGATTGTTGGATGTAGTTAGATGCCTGGTCATGCCAGTATTGTTAGATTGAATAAGTCAGGCTCAATTGTACTTCACTTACATAAAGACCGGGTTTTGGTTAATATCTTAAAACAATGACCTCTTGATCTTTGTAGACTAAAACCCAGCCAGTCTCTCCCACTAGAGTGTCTTGTTTTTCACTAAAAACAAATTTGGATTAGTCAGTAACTTAAGAAATACTTGTGGAAAGTGGGCTGCAGTCTCTCCAACAGATACATTGGAAATGCATTTTGCAGCATGAGCATTGTTTCGTTTTAAAAAATCTTTATTTTATTATTTATAAGCTGTCAGTTTTGCACAAACTCTCTGCTATTAACAGTGTCCTCTGGCAGCAGCAAACCCTACACATTTTGGATGTATGGGGTCATAAAATGAAAATAAGTTTGAAACCAGTGTGCTGTTTTTAAAAATCCATTTTTTGGGATGGTGAAACAAAATGATGAGTCCTAACTAAGCCAAATTTGGATAGTGTCGCAGGTCAGACAGTTAATGCAGACTCATTTATGTGCTTATTGGTCATTTTTGAAGTAGGGAGCATCTCATAACTTGAGTGTGTTGTTTTCTGTTGATGTTTTTAACATCTTACCTGTTCATAACCTTTCCAGCAAAAGACAAAACACATGCACCCATCCATCTGAGCGTACACATTTACCTGAGACTATGATACCTGAGACTCCTGCTGTAGGTTCTCCTAACCAAGCACATTTTGGTGTAGGCAAAGCCGGCTCCATTCTGCGTCTTTGGTGAGTGAGCTTCATGTTGTCTCCCCCTTTGGGAATTAAACCATGCTATGTGGTAATTATATGCATGTTTCCCTTGGTATTTTGGGGGTTGGAGACAGACAAAGTAGCGTTCACATCAGAGCCAGACCATTCCTTAACGCCTACACACTGACCCCAAACAAAATATTTCACATATTTAAACAGAATAGTTGATTGACAATTGTGTTCAGGGAAGCAGTTAGTTTTATAGTGGTATGCCTCTATATAAAAAGATTATGAGTCACATAATGACATTTGGCTATTTGTCATTTTGAAGTGAAAGCTATTGTTTGGTGTAAACTACAACGTTAGTGATCATTAATCACTTTGGGAACATTTGTGAGGATTACCAGTTTGCTCAAAATCCAAACACAGTGATAAAAATGACACATGTAAGTGCAGTTTCATCATCAAAAGATATGATTCGGCTTTATATGACGTTGAGTCATTTAAAGATAGCAATGATTTGCTTCCAGTTGAGACTGATAACAGTGAATTCTTGTTGCCAGGTGTCCATGGGAAAGGCTGAGAGGGATAGGCTATGGATATGTGTGCATGCCTGCACCCACTGACCTGTTATTTTATTTGGTGTGTGGGCGTGCAAGCAAGAATGAGTGTGTATTGTACTGTACTCAATGGCGACCTGACACAGACTACAGTTGGGCCAGTGATGCATTAGCCATGGCTAGAGATGGGTTGGTATGGAATAAATAATGGATACCATCCTTTCCCTCTGAATAAATCAAGACCAGAGAAATGGAGAGAGACGGGAGATTAAATGTGGGAGAGATTTGAAGAAATTTAATGCCAGAGAGAAAGAGAATGTTTGTGTAACTGGAAGAAGAATATAGAGGGAGAAACAGTGTCCTGAATTCCAAATCAGCGTCTCACTTCTGGTCTCTGCAAGGAAAAGAAAATGTTTTTTAGGAAAATGCAGTTGGACACATATTTCTTTTTTTTTGTTGCACAAATGTGAAATGGCTGAAAGTTGAAAAGAAACAACTGATTTCTGTTATTATTCTGTAGGAACACAATGGCTTCTTGGCTCATTTTGCGCTCTTTGCACCCCAGGCCCAGGGCCAGACGTTCACCTTCCCTGACATCTTCCCGGAAAAAGACCGGATGCCGTCGGAGGGCTCCATGGAGGAGATGCAGGAGAAGTTCATGGAGGACGAGAAGCAGAGGCAGAAACTTGACCCCAGGAGAGGAGGGGTCACTGAGTGGTTCGGACTCTGAGACAGCCCACCGACCGAGAACTCTGTGCTCGTATTTGTGTTTCGTTGGGTGCAACGTGTATTGATTTACAGCGCGACTGTCGTGATGTCACTTCTATTTCTGTAAAAAACACTCGCAAGTGTGTAGTAAAGAAGAATGAGCATGTGTGTGGGAGACTGGAGACATGTGTTTGGTGTGTGTGTTTGTGTGTGAGTGAGTTTGCGAGGCTTGAGTCCAGTAACCCGAGCCAGAACAGAATCACAGGAGGAGGAGAGTGGCCTGGCTCCATCTTTCATGAAACCAGCCCACCGTACAGAATCTCCATCACCTCAGATGACCTCCTCCTCTTCCTCCTCCCACTCTTCCTGTTCCACCTCCTCTTTTAATTCCTCCTCCTTGGCACCAATACCCCTGCACCTCCTCTTTCTTTTGTCTCTCCTCAGGAGTTTCCTTTCCTTCTCGTCCGTCTCCTCTGCTGTCCCTGTTTCTCTTGTGCCCTCTCCTACTCTCCTCCTTCTCTGCCACGCTGGGGAGTGGTATATTGTGGTATCCCTAGTAGCTCTGACTCTCGGCCAGTTGGATCCAACTACCTGGACAACCCACATCCTTTCCTCTTTTATGAGTTTGCCTTGGATTAATTGACCACTTTAGGTAAACAACAATTGAGATGTTGTTTCAGCAAAGCAACGACATGGAATTTGCTGGAGTGTTTTATTATTTTGTGGTAGCACCTCTTGCCATATTCTGAGAAAAGATTGTACCCAGTGTGTGTGTGTGTGTGTGTGTGTTTGCCTAGCATGCGGGACTTGCCAGTGAATCTGTCTAATTGTAAGTACTGTTGGAATAAGAACTAATAAACGGTCACTTGTCCAAAAGTGCTCTGCTTACTTTTTCTTGTGTTCTCCTCGCCTCATCTCCCACAGCTGCTGCGCTCAACAACTGGCACTTCGAGACGCTGTTCGCCACACAAGCTGGCCTGCGCGTGTGCCAACGTGGTCTGGTAGCTGTTTTGACAAAGTAATGATCTGTGTTTGAATCGGGCCACTGGAGGACTGAGCTCTCTTACGGTAATAAGGCCTATAAAGGGGAGGGACCTCTCCTGGGCTTGCTCAGACCCACCATTATGCTGAGAGGCCAAGGTTACAGTAAGTGTCCCCCAGCCGTGACCACTAATGCTGGCTGGCTAATACAAAGGTCCAGTCCCTGACCTCACCCAGACAACTCGGCTATCACTAAGGAGAATGTCAATATTGATCCTGTTGGACCATTATCTACTGCCTGGAACAACTCACCCCCTGCGTCGCTATAAAGCAATCTGATTTGGAACAAAACACGCCTCCTGTTACACAGCCACTCCATTTCTATTCTGTCTGCCTCGTTCTCACTATCTCACTTTTGATTTTTCTCCTTTCTCTGCTCCTTCCTGTCTCTGTTGCACAGTCTGGACCTCCAGAGAAACAGCTGCTTAACCAACAGAGAGGGATATAAAATTCCTGTTCTAGCTCTCCTCCCGGCCTGAACAGACCCCACATGAAAGTTGTGAAATCATGTTCTGGTGTTTGCCACGCAATAATCCGTCCCTGTGCTCCTGTGGTTCCTTGTCACGGGTATACCCCAAGCCTTCTAAAGTCAGATTACAGCCATTTATTATTCGGTTTAAGGCCTACTACTACTAACAGTGGTGGTTATGTAGTGTTTTGGACATTTTGGATACTGCTACATAAAAGTCATAAAGATAACAAATTGTGTAGTGCAGACAGACTCTGAGACACACTTGGTTAATGAGCTCATCTCTTGCTCACACAGATAAATGTCTCTTAGTCATTTTAACTCTATAAGTAAACAGGAAAAACAAGTTAACAGATTAAAGGAACAATAGAAAAACATTCGGGGGTGGAAGGAATGGAACAATAAATGGCGTCATAGACCTTCATAGTCATGTACAATGCAACATGAAATTGTTTTGACAGACTTGTGTGAGTGATTTAAGTATGTTTCTCAAAATCATTGAAAATAAAATAAAGATGATATGATTTGATTTTTACCCATAATGATGATTTTGCTGACAAGATAATTTGGGATATTATTCTAATCAATAAAAATGTTACAATGGCTAAAGAAGGATAGACTTTCATTTTTAAGTAGTAACATCTGTGGAGGACCTGCCAAAATTGCGTAGTGTTTGGACGTGAATAAAACAGATGATTGTTTCTCTTTTCAGAAGAGAACACGGGTCAACCTCAAAATGCAACATTTACATTAAAACTTCTGTGGTGGGATGAATGCCAAATCACATTCCTCAAGATTTAGTAGACATGAACAGTTTATATGTGAAGAACATCCGCTGTTACTGTGGTTTATAGTTAAAAATCAGCAGAAGTCTTGAATTTCAGATCATCAGCAGCCTAGGAAGCTGGAACTGTGCCGTGATGATGTTGTTGTCTTCAGTGATGGCTGGGAGGAACATCTGAGTCATCAGCAGAAGGTACTGACAGGGTTAAGGAGGTGGGCCTGAGCAACTTTTCCTGAGTAGGGCTCTTTGGCAAAGCTGGAGTCCAGTGATCCTCTCCATTGGAGCCCCCTTGCTACATGGAGAGCCAGGTGACTCCTGTCTCTCTGCATACATCAGCGGGAAGCTTTTGGTTTGGTGATACAGTGGGTACGGAAAGTATTCAGACCCCTTTAAATTTTTCACTCTTTGTTTCATTGCAGCCATTTTCCAAAAATCAAAAAAGTTCATTTTATTTCTCAGTAATGTACACTCAGCACCCCATCTTGACAGAAAAAAACAGAAATGTAGAATTTTTTTGCAAATTTATTAAAAAAGAAAAACTGAAATATCACATGGTCATAAGTATTCAGACCCTTTGCCGTGACACTCATATTTAACTCAGGTGCTGTCTATTTCTTCTGATCATCCTTGAGATGGTTCTACACCTTCATTTGAGTCCAGCTGTGTTTGATTATACTGATTGGACTTGATTAGGAAAGCCACACACCTGTCTATATAAGACCTTACAGCTCACAGTGCATGTCAGAGCAAATGAGAATCATGAGGTCAAAGGAACTGCCTGAAGAGCTCAGAGACAGAATTGTGGCAAGGCACAGATCTGGCCAAGGTTACAAAAGAATTTCTGCTGCACTTAAGGTTCCTAAGAGCACAGTGGCCTCCATAATCCTCAAATGGAAGACGTTTGGGACGACCAGAACCCTTCCTAGAGCTGGCCGTCCGGCCAAACTGAGCTATCGGGAGAGAAGAGCCTTGGTGAGAGAGGTAAAGAAGAACCCAAAGGTCACTGTGGCTGAGCTCCAGAGATGCAGTCGGGAGATGGGAGAAAGTTGTAGTAAGTCAACCATCACTGCAGCAATCCACCAGTCGGGGCTTTATGGCAGAGTGGCCCGACGGAAGCCTCTCCTCAGTGCAAGACACATGAAAGCCCGCATGGAGTTTGCTTAAAAACACCTGAAGGACTCCAAGATGGTGATAAATAAGATCCTCTGGTCTGATGAGACCAAGATAGAACTTTTTGGCCTTAATTCTAAGTGGTATGTGTGGAGAAAACCAGGCACTGCTCATCACCTGTCCAATACAGTCTCAACAGTGAAGCATGGTGGTGGCAGCATCATGCTGTGGGGGCGTTTTTCAGCTGCAGGGACAGGACGACCGGTTGCAATCGAGGGAAAGATGAATGCGGCCAAGTACAGGGATATCCTGGACGAAAACCTTTTCCAGAGTGCTCTGGACCTCAGACTGGGCCGAAGGTTTACCTTCCAACAAGACAATGACCCTAAGCACACCGCTAAAATAACGAAGGAGTGGCTTCACAACAACTCCGTGGCTGTTCTTGAATGGCCCAGCCAGAGCCCTGACTTAAACCCAATTGAGCATCTCTGGAGAGACCTGAAAATGGCTGTCCACCAACGTTTACCATCCAACCTGACAGAACTGGAGAGGATCTGCAAGGAGGATGGCAGAGGATACCCAAATCCAGATGTGAAAAACTTGTTGCATCTTTCCCAAAACGACTCATGGCTGTATTAGATCAAAAGGGTGCTTCTACTAAATACTGAGCAAAGGGTCTGAATACTTATGACCATGTGATATTTCAGTTTTTCTCTTTTAATAAATTTGCAAAAATTTCTACATTTCTGTTTTTTTCTGTCAAGATGGGGTGCTGAGTGTACATTACTGAGAAATAAAATGAACTTTTTTGATTTTTGGAAAATGGCTGCAATGAAACAAAGAGTGAAAAATTTAAAGGGGTCTGAATACTTTCCGTACCCACTGTAAGTACCTTGCCATTAAGTGAGCTCCGAGGAGAAAGATCATTTTGGATAAAGACCACGGTGCATCTTATTTATTTATTTTAAAAGGGAAAGTGCACATTAATGAAGATTTTAGCATTGCATCAATATAAATATACCAGACTTAGCCAGAAGGCAATTTTCTTTAACTGTGGTCCATGGCATGGGACGCATTGGAGATTTTTTACCGAAAGGGATGTGAGAAGTAAGTGACAGACTCTGCAGGACCCAGGATAAGTCATCATAGTCACAAACATGACAAATATGATGATTGATTTGCCACCCTGACTCTTGAATGCACTTGACTGTCCTTCATGTTAGTCCCAGAAAATGCAGATCCAGACCCCATGGCTCCAAGAGATTCCTTTTATGAAGATAGTAAGGTAGAGTTGGAGACAGATTGAGGAAGAACACTTTTTTATGTCTTTTCTTCTCTGGCATTTTTGACAAAGACATGATAGGAGATGAGGATAGAAAGGGACTGGGTGGCATGCAACAAAGGTCCCTGGCCAGACTTGTATAAGAGGCATTGCAATTACATGGTCAGCATCTTAAATCCCAAGACCAGGCCGCACCGGGAAAAGCACTTTTAAGTACTTCTGAATAGAAATAGTCTTTATGTATAGCGATGTCAATGATGTAGTGAATTTGTCAGCTCCAGTTTATGAAAGCAGGTGTTTGAAGCTCCTGTAAGAGAAGGTTAGACTAGTCCTTTCTGGCAGAGACCAGTCAGATTGCCGTCTCCTGCAGATCGGCACAGAGGAGTCACCAGACTCCTTTTTTTTTTCTTTATTATGGCCAAACCTGTCTGTAACACTGTAAATATTCTGCACCGAATCTGCTGTAAAAAATAATGACTGCTAAAAAAGCTTTCACCTTCCTCTCTTCCATGCTCTCCCCACGCCTCTCCCCTCTTTGTTGCAATAAAATGCATCCTCTCCTGTCCAGCCCTGTCCATGCAGCTGGCAGCCATTTCCCTATTTCCCTACAGTTTTCTCCCTGTCTGATGATGCTATATGGCTAGAGTGTGAAGGAACGGGAGCATGGAAGGATGAAGAGGTATGCGGAGAAACGAGCGAGCCCCGCACATCCCATTTCAGCTGAACTTGGGATGACTGTAGGCAGCTACAGATTTATAGGGATCTGTGTGCTGGACAAGATGCATCGTATATTGTAATGCACCACACGTCGTGTAAGTGCAGAGGGAGGGATTACGAGCATGTGCGTGCGAGACACAGAAAGCCCAGGAAGGATGGAGTGAGAGAACAGATGGAGGTGAGTGAGAAACTGAAGATGGTGAAGTGAGAGTGAAAAAGAGATGACATCACTGTGAAAATGCTGAGCTGGATTCAAGGGCTACTGGATGAAAGAAGTCTACTCCCACAGTGCACCCCCCCCCCCCCCCCCTCTGTCTCATGAGATGTACAGTGCAGGACGTGTTCCCATCCCTACACGGTTAGTTAATGGAAGGGGGGTTGAATATTTTAAACAGCCCTACACTCTCCTCCTTTCCCCCTCCTTACTCTTCTCTCCCTCCATTTTATTCTTGTTCAGTTGTGCATTAGTCAAGTGC